TAGCACAGAGCTAGTTGGAATTCCATATTTCCAGCCTGTGGGCATAACACTAAGAGTTTGAAGTAAATTTTGTTTCAGGTCAGAGTTACTATACTTTTTAAAAGACAGCTTTAGAACAAAATTAGAACACTGTACAGGTTGAGAAATATACGTGTGTGGTGTTCAATTTCCTTTTATAATTGTATTTTACTTATTCTTTATTATTTTATGCACAGCACCTTTTGACATCTCACAATCCATATTGAAAAAGTATTATTTGAGGTTTTACATGTATTCGGGTATTTACATCTATATATTTACATGTAATAATGACTGAAATGTTTGCCTTGTTTCCTGAGTTGGAGCATCAAACTTTTTATGTACATTATAACCTTTGAGATACTTCTAATACACTGTGAGGTAGAAAAGATCCAACTGTATAAGCTCCCGCTGTGCAATAGCCTGTGGTACAGCATTATGCTGATCGTCACGCCAATGGTCTCCTACAGATGTTTTTAAACCTGAAATTCTAGATGTCTGTGAAACGAAAAATTCAGAAATTAATTTTCCCTGTGGGAACTTCTCTTGAAATCAACATGTTTTCTGAATGTTTCTCTTTTAACCAACTAATAGCTGTTGTTTCAAAGAGAAGAGAAAGAACAAACCCTGTTTTTAGAAAAACATTCAGCACAAGCACTTATTTGAGGTTTCATACCAGGGATGGCTCTTCCCGTAAGACTTCCCTGTGGGTGATGAGCTTAGCAGAGCAATAGCAGTTTGCTCCTGCCGACTGTCCTTTCTTTTGCCTGCTACGTGATTCCTAAATTTCCACCTGCTGAGAATGGCCACAGAGTGGCCACCAAGACCTTTCTGCTTATGGAGGTGAAGCCAAATAATCACTGGCTCCACATGTCCCTCTCCCCAGCCCCTTCCCAGCAGAGCTGTGTTGTGCACTGTCTCTTCCCTTGCTGCACAACCTCTCCTTGCTTCTCTGGTTGCTATATTGCCACCCCTACCAGATCTTAGGACCTCTCCTGATCTTGTTACCTGAAGGAAGGTGGTTATCCATGTTTTTTCTCCTTCTTATTAATCCTACTCTTCTGTCCTTGCCAAGATATCTATTTGCACCTTTGCTCACAGCCTGCTTCGGGCTTGCTCTGCTGATCTCCCAGCTTCTAAGACCAACATCTCCTGTGCAGCTGTCCCTGACGGGCACTGCCATCCGCTCCTGTGTGTGACTCACTACTCTCCACAGACCTTGCCTTGCCCTCTGCAGACCACGGTGCTCACTGTGCTTCTTTGCTCTCTTTTCTTTCAACTGAGCTCTAAGTGGAGAATTGTTCTTCACTTTGTGCTTAAGGTTAAGAGGCTGAACTAATTCGTCAGGTGTTTCTTATTGAAAACTTCTCAAAAACAAAAGCAGTTAAGTATTTATATGCCCCTTGTTACTGCTGAAAGCATAAGGAAAACACACTTTCCCTTCCACTGTCTGTGTTTGATATTTGTCATAGAGAAATTTACAGAGGAGCTTGGTATATGGCCCATTTGTGCATCATGTTTTTATTTTGAAAACCACAGGAAACCCAAGGCTTCATTGCCATGAAAAACCAATGCTTGAATCTGTAACCATATAAACTATACCTTATAAGATAGGTTCTGATTTTGCCTCACAGCTCCCATCTCAGGTTGCTTTCACTTGGTCCTTAGTAATGAAATGGCACCATAATCTTATTCTATGTCCTGCTTTGTAGTAAAGTACAGTGTGGTGGCAGACACGGGAAATTTATATCCTCAGTCACTTCACTGTGAGAAGTATTGATAACCAAACGAGAATCATAGCCTCAACACATCCAGTTTACAAACAGCAGTTTGGATCAAAGTAAAAGTATGGAGATGACTTCAGTATTTACCAGGCCCTGCTGACTGATGGTGCATTTTGCCTCTGAACAGTGAGAGTCAAAGAGGGTGTTCGGCCTTCTCCTGTGCCATCCTCCTGCGCATGGTTGGACACAAGGCTTGTGCGGGTGCTCTTCGCAGAAGCACTCTGCAAGCAAATGCTGAGAGATGGTGCTAGAAAATCTGAAGCTTGGCTTCTGGTGCATGGCAAATGCTGTGTCTGCAGCTCACTACTTGTAAGTCCTGATGCAGACAGAAGTGGAAGGGGGAATGATGCATCAAAAAAAAGGCTGATACTGCAACTGTGTGTAGCTGTGGCTTTGAAGAGGACGTGAAGCTAGTCATCCAGTAAATGTCACTGAAGATTATGATGCCCATATAAAATCGTCACTTTCCTCCATCGTTAAAATAGCCAGATCACATTTGCATTGAGCAAAATGAAACATAATGTTAGTTTTCAGACCTCCACTGTCTTTAAGCACCACTAAAAGAATACGGTTTCTTTTTCCTGCTTCAGACACTTCAGATTCTGTGGGACATTTTCCTACAAGACATCCATGAACGAACTCGTGAGACAAGTGGAAGTTAATAAGGCAAACATTGTTTTTCCCTTATGACAAGCAGTTAAATCTCTTAATCTCTTAAATCTCTTGGTTTTTTCCTGCATATCCAGGGGCTGTGACACAGTCCTGCAGGCTAAAATGCGACCCCCAACAAACACTAATGTTAAAAAAGGAAAGCAAATACATTAATACATTAATGTCTCAGGGATTTGCTTTTTCTTTCTCTTCCTTCATCTTTGGTGAGTGTTTTCTGCATGAAACCCTGTGGCTGTGACTGTCACACCATGGGCAAACCAGCAAGGCAGGGCTTTCATGTTACTGCACTCAGCATGGTCCCCACAGCTATTTTGGTGGGAATTGTGGGTGGGCAGAAGGGGTGAGCTGAACTTGGGTGGCCATTCTGTCTTTCAGCTGAAGCTTTATCTCCCCAGTACAAGAGGCAGCCAATGACTGCAGAGCTTGGACGACTGACAGATCATCCTGAGCCCCTAACCAGAGAGCTCCAGTGGTGGGAGGAATAATACCAGACACTGAGTTGCCTCCCACTGCAAGATTAAAGGAAGAGGAAAGGCTAGCACAAAGTTTCTGGAGATCATAACTCAAGAGCTCTTGGACATTGTGCTCTCAGTGGAAAGAATTAGTGGCTGCAGACAAAAGGATAAATGCAGAGGTCAGGACTTATCTGGAGAGCTACAAACAGAGAGGAGAGGGAGAGGAGAGGGAGAGGAAAGGAGAGGAGAGGAGAGGAGAGGAGAGGAGAGGAGAGT